TCTGCTTATAAAAACCACCAAGCCCCAAGCAAACACTCCCCTGCTTCCGCTTTTCTCTCCCCCACAAACCACACAGCCCCCCTCCCATAGAGCCTCTCACTCTCTCAATTCCTAAAGATTCAGTTTTAGAGAGAGAGAGAGAAAAACCAGGAAGCCTATTAATGCCTATCACCGAGAAATCGTGATCGGAGCTCTTGCTTTTTTCACTGACTCGCCAGTTTCCGGCCGCCGGCCAGCAAAAAGTTGTCGTTCAGGCGAAAATATCAAACACTGACATTGTGCTATATCCTAATTGACAGTGGAAGGGAGGGAAATGGATCTTAGTAAGGTTACTTTGGAGATCTTCACGAAATTGGAGCAGAAATGGCTTTCGCACTGTGTAAGCACGAAAAAAACGCGAGTGCTCAGCATTGACGGTGGTGGAACCACCGGCATTGTCGCCGGCGCTGCTCTTATACACCTGGAGGACCAGATCCGCCTCAAAACCGGCGATCCGCATTCTCACATTGTCGATTTCTTCGACATCATTGCTGGTACTGGCGTCGGTGCTATTCTTGCTGCCATGCTCTCGGCTGACGATGGCTCCGGCCGTCCTCTCTTCACCGCCAGGGAAGCTGTCAGACTCATTTCAGAGAAGAACTCCGAGCTTTTCAAGCTTAAGCTCGTCGGAGTACTTCGCCGTCGCCGTAGGTTCTCTGGTAAGAGCATGGATAAGGTCTTGAAGGAAGCTTTTAAGAAAGAGGACGGTACGGTCTTGACCATGAAGGATACGTGCAAGCCGTTGCTCATTCCGTGCTACGACCTCAAGAGCTCTGCTCCCTTCGTTTTCTCTCGCGCCGACGCTTCTGAGTCGCCTAGCTTTAACTTCGAGCTTTGGAAAGTGTGCCGCGCCACGTCAGCTACGCCCAGCCTATTTAAGCCGTTTTCTCTGACGTCAGTTGACGGCAAGACCTCCTGCTCCGCCGTAGACGGAGGCTTAGTGATGAACAACCCCACGGCGGCCGCAGTGACGCATGTTCTCCACAACAAGAGAGATTTTCCCTCGGTCAACGGCGTTGAAGATCTGTTAGTCCTCTCATTGGGTAACGGCCCGTCTTCTGGGCGCCTGAAGGTCCATTGTAACGGCAAGTGCTCCACGTCTTCGGTCGTCGACATTGCACTTGACGGAGTCTCAGAGACCGTGGACCAGATGCTTGGGAATGCTTTCTGTTGGAACCCCACGGATTACATCAGAATCCAGGTTCGTATATCAGTGCTCTAGGTTCTGTTTGGTCCCCAAGAAAATGAAAGAAAATAGAAGAAAATTGAGTCATCAATTCGTTAATTGGTTTCGTTGAACATAGAAATCCACATAAAAGGCGAGTACAGTAACATATTATTTGACCGAATTAAAGCGATATTTTCGTTTATTATTTACCTTGGTTTTCTCGCGAACCAAACAGAAAAAAGAATTGAATATATATTTTTATTTCTTTGTTTTTGTAGAGTTGATGCGGCAGTTTGAATTAGTTATTTTTATTAATTTTAGGATAAATTGAATTCTACTCAAATTAATAAATTGATAAATTGTTGATCGAATTAACCTTTTTTTTTTTTTATAGAATTAATAACTAATAAAAAATCAAAATAAACACCTTCAATATTTTATAATATGATGTCATTTTCTTTTCTATATTCGTATGAAATGGTTTTAAATAGCGATTGACGGCGTGAAACGTGCAGGCAAACGGACTGGCAAGTCCGGGATTGGTGGGGCCGAGAATGGCGGAGGCGGTGTTGGAGGAGAGAGGAGTGGAGTCGTTACCGTTTGGCGGGAAGCGGTTACTGATGGAGACAAACGGGCAGAGAATTGAGAGCTTCGTCCAACGCCTTGTTGCTTCCGGAAAGTCCAGCCTTCCCCCTAGTCCCTGCAAAGAATCTGCAGTTAGCCCTCTTGCTAACGGCCGTTAGTTTTCCAGTGTCTTTTTAACTCAAAAGCTCAAGTTTTCGAGTTAAATAACACCACTAATTAATCATCCGTTTTAGTTTTTCTTTAACTTAGTCAATGCAAAGCCTCGTCATGTTTGGGTTCTGGACCTTGCTAGCCTTAGTTACTGTAAATTTTGAAAATCAATGCAAAGTGTAGACTTTGATTTTAATAATTCTACTAATACTCTATAAAGAGATATTATCTTATGGGTGATGTTATTGAGATAATTTTTTTATCTTATTTTTTTTGTAAAACTTTCATATATTATTAAATGAGTAAATGTATTTAATATCATGAGTTTCATATGAATTAAAAGAACTCATCATTTTAATGATATGTCAAGTTGTATAAAAAAATGAGATAAAATAATTGTTCCAATAGTATTTTTCATTATCTTATAATTTATAATAAAAAACGTTTTATGCAATTAATATGGAGAGTAGCCTCATCTTCCTATAACTAGCTTTTTTACGGTTTTAGCCCAATTGAACAGTTAAAAAGCATTCTAATTAATAATTTTGTAGTTTTATAAAAACGAATTTATTTAACATTAAATGTATTATTTTGTAATAAATTTTTATAAAAAAATGAAAAATAAGATGTTATTTTTAACATTAATATTACTTAGATAATTTTAATTGGATAATTAATAAATTTAAAATCAATTTGTATTATTTTTATTTAAATTAATTATAAAAAAATTAATGTTTTCTTAATCGCTTTCAAAATATGGACTAGGTAAACTTGTAAAAATTATAGCTGGTTTGAATACTGGTTACATTTTTTGTCGCAATTAATTTATGCACGAAGAATACGAGCTAGGAAGAAAACTGGCCGGGAGATATAATAGTTAGTGGTCCTTTGAACAACTCCGTGCGATTTAAGGTGGAGGCCTCATTAGAGCGTGCAGTAGAGATGGTCAGATGGCCCTGCCTGGTTGATATTATGAATTATAGTCCAAAATCAAGGACCACCACTTAGATCTTCTCCGAATAACAAATTGACAATCTGATCTGAATTATGGCTCATTAATGAAGAATTAGAAAAATAAGTCTATCTATTAAGATCAAAATCCAATGTTTATGGCAGGTTGTTCCGAATCCATATGAAACTGGAACAAGCCATGGCATCCAACTTTGTGTGATGCGTACTGGGGTAGATTCTGGCCATTTCATTAAAGAAAAAAAATTTTCCATTTCAACTAGCCCCTACAGCAGGAGAGTGGACATGGAAAAGAAATCCACCCAATCACCCATAATCCATGTTCTATTACTTGGACACACACAGTATACTGCATGTATTCCTTTTCTTGTCAAACTTTTTTCAACTTTGCTACAGTAATAAAAAGTTTAATAATTTTATAATTATAATATCATTTAAAAATATAATATATTATTAATTAAATTAATATATATAATATTTAGAATATATTTTTAAATAAAAATACATTATAATTAGAGAAAAGTGCCTATCAATCTTACCTTATAAAAATTATAAAGAAAATCATTTTAAAATTATGTCGTTTCAATAAAATTTTATTGAAAAAGACTAAACTATCCTATTTTTAAAACATATATTAAGATAATTTTTGTCATTTTTCTTCTTAATTTTTTAGAGGTAAGGTGGACAAACACTAATTCCTCATAATTATATATTTATAATATCATGTAACATTTAAACTATATTATTTTCACACAAAAAATCTGAAAAAGGAACCGACTTTCCAATGATTTAACTTTATAGTTTTCATTTGTGGCGTGGTCCTCTGGTTTTTTCTTTGATTCTCTTTTGGTAGGTAGGTTCGGTGAGAGTGCTTCCCCCCCACTTGCATTGGCAACAGCATAAGACAAGGCCTCTATTCACCCTTTTTTTTTGGGTTCACAGACTAATTGTATTCAATTGATTTTCTTAAATTAGAACGGTCCCTTAATTATTATTTGTTGGCATGCGACCTCTCCCTGCCTGTTTTCTTTTCTTTTCTTTTATACGTCCTATTTATACTTTGGGATGGGATATATTACTTTATTAGTTAGGTACAATATATTCACCCCACCACATTAGCTTTTTATTAATTGGGCGAATGATGACACTAAGCTAGATAAGATCCAAAGCTTTTACCTCTTAGAAGCACTATCTAGTGAAGTATTTGTTAAGCTCAGTTTCAACAAAAATTTCAGCACTAGCTAAAAGATATATTAAAAAAAATCATACATGTTTAGCTTTATAGCAGTTTTGACAATAAAAAGGGTATTTATTCTTTCATTATTATTATTTTAAAAATTAATGGCTTTGTGTTGAGCGTGATTTTAGTCACCCATCATATTGTTAAAGATCACTATGTGCTATTTAGTTTGACTCTTAAAAATACTTAATAAATTAATTAATATTTATTACTTAACAAATTAAAATCAATATATAAATTAATATTTTTAAACATCATAATCAATTATTTAAAAAAAAACTATAAACAAATAAAATATTTATTAAACTAAATTTTTTTTAAATAATCTTAATTAAATAATAAATAATTATGAGAACGGTCTTATGGTTTAATAATTACTAACTCCTTATAAAGATTTTATCATGTTAGCTTAAATTGTGAGGTTCAAGTCTTATCTCAACATTAAAAAAACATAAATAAATAAATCACTATAACTCTCCCCTAAGAATTGTAAGGGTTTAAAACTTAATCAAATCAATGTTTCTTAATTCGTGGGTCCGGACTACGGGCTACACCCTTGTATTTGTAAAAGGTGTTTGTGGAGCGCAGGGAAGGGAACCCATGCCCAAGTGGCAGATTAGCTGAAGCCAAGTTGATGTAGATTGTCGAGTTCCCTAAAAGCCTAAAATCCAGAGAAGCGTTTGGGTACACACAGTCCTGTTGTTTGTTACTGCAACACTGTGGCGAGGGGATCGTACAGGGGACCTCATTAATTTCTAGCTTTAGCATTGGTTTTATATTGAACTGAATTGTTTGTTCGTATGTGTGTGTGTGTTTGTTTATTGTTGTTATTTTTTTGGTCAGCATTATGGAACTGGATTAACTAATTAATTTGCCCATATTATGAAGGTAAACGGAGGGGACCTCACCTCCATTCTTTCCACCTCTAGCCTGACGCGATCAACTCTAGTTTGGACGTCTGAAAGTAAGACTACCATTTTTTTTTCCTGTGGAATTTTTTACAATTCGAGACAGGGACATCCAACCTAAGTTGGGCCCTTTATCTATCTCCGGTTCTTTTTAACTGCAAAATTCAACCGGCGAAGGTTAACCTATATCATATGTAATTAGAAACTGTTTGGTATATGTAAGGGTAAGTCCAGAACTTCCCGCTAGAATAGCTACACGGCAGTTACGATGGACATCTTTGTATCTAGATATATCTCAATCTCCCGGTCCCGAAATAACTGCTTGGAGATACATATCACATCCCGGATATTTTGCTTAGCTCAATCTCCCGGTCCCGAAATAACCGCCTGGAGATACACATCGGATCCCGGATATCTTGCTTGGCATCTTGATTGGCATGCCACGTGGATTCCGCATCGGAACATATAAATACCTCTTAAGGGCCACGCCAAAAGGTAATTGAAACCAACCCTAAGCTCCTTGTTTTTCCGCTTCAAAGGTAACCCCGATTATTGCTGATTTAAGCATCGGAGTGTCTATCCCGAGGATCCACCTCGGGGTTTTGAAGGTTAATCTAGAGTGCAGATACGGACTGAAGAAGGACTTCCGGTTTGGTACAGTTACAGTATATTAGTTTTATTTAATTTTATAGTTAATAATTGTTATTATTAATAATTTAAAATATTTTTATATTTATTAAATTATGAAAAACCATTAAGTATTAATTACAAATCACTCTACAAAAAACCCCTTTTAGAGTACTTAGCTTATGCAGCAATTTGAAAGTAATTGTCAGTAGTTTTGTGGCTTAATATAATAAATAGTCTATTATCTATTAATTTCTTTTCATTTTAGTTGAAATCTTTATTTTTTTTCAAAATCATCTATAAACTTTCAAATTTGTTCAATTTTTCTTAGTCCAACACAATGTTATTAATTAAATTGATGAAATTCTAGATTTTCTATTGTCTAACACCACATGATTCGAAAATGGGAGCATAACTTCTTGCTGCTTCCTTAGGGCTACATCATAATATAAAAAATTACTTTATATAGTGAAATTTTTTTGAAATAAATTACTTTATATGGTGGAAATTTTTTAAACAAATTTGCTTCCCTTTTCAAGCCACATGGTTGCTTATGTAGCAGCTTATGTAGCGCTACACAATTAAGGATATGGAATTTTGTTACCAAAACTAAGTAAGTTGTGTTAAACTAGACTAAATTGAAATAATTTTAAAAGTTAGTGGATGATTTTTAAAAAAAATAGAGATTCTAAGCTAAAAGGAAAAACGATCAATAGTTAATAGATGATTTATTAAATTAAATCTAGTTTTGTCTAATTCAAAAAATAAAAATATTTGAATAATTAATAGTAACAATGATAAATTGTTGTCATTAATAATTTAAATAGTACCTTTATATTCATTAAATTTTATAAAATTATTAACTGTTAATTTTAAACCATTACAAAAGTATAATCATTTCAATAACTGGAATGAACTTAATTATATTGGATGATAATACACGCACCCATTAGTTCAATACTCGACAGGACACGTTCAACAGAATATTAGTTTTTTGTGAGTTTAGAGTAAGAGGCTAAAATAGCTTACTCAATTGTCATTCATTTAGCTATTCTTTGTTTGCGTTTCCAAACATATGGCAAGAAGAACTCTTAATGTGGTAGGTGTCTTTAATGGCTGGTTGGGAGTTGAGATTTGATGCTTACATTACATAATGCACTTGGAAGAAAATTATGCAGTTATGTCAACTCTTCAGAAAACATACATTAAATGTAATTCCTCTTTTTATTTAAGTTGCAGTTGTATGAAAAATCACAAGAAGAAGAAATGAAAGAAAGAAAGGCTAGAAAAACAAAAATCCAAACTTATATTTTCATATTCTGAGTTCTAGTTTTTTAATCTTCTTCATCCAAAAATCCATCACATGGTATCATGTAAGCATAAATCCAAACCTGTATTTTCATAATCTGAGTTCTTGTTCTTTAATCTTCTTCATCAAAAAATCCATCATATGGTATCATGTAAGCACAA